CGGCGGCTCCCACGAGAGGTGCGCGCCCTCCTGCGACTTGGAGATCTTGATGGCGGAGGGCGCGCCGGGGAACCCCGGCAGGCACGTCTTGAACGCAGACTCCTGCACGCAAATAAATTATCTTATTAATACTAGAAATGTGAAATTTTACATGAATCTCTAGAACAGTCTGGCTGAAAAAAATCAATTTCAGAGAAATCTTAACCAGTCTTCGAAAACACGTACAATTACCTAATGTGTATTTTTATCCGTGTAGACAGAGACGCGGAGAAAAGCTAGTATTTAATGATAACAAGTAAAACGGAAAAAAACACTATCGGAAGAATACTGAAACGAATGTAATACACTACGTTCCGTATACCATCTGATAGATATTTTTTTAATACTTTTATGCGTTTAGGCGTGGATTTATCACTTGAGATGATGTTACGTATATAGTCTGTTATAAATAAAGGGCAGTGGGCAGTGGGCAGTGTCCAGACCTCGCTGAACTCGCCGCGGCCGCAGGAGTTGATGGCGGCGATGCGGAACTTGTAGGCGGTGCCGTGCTCCAGCGGCGAGGTGGGCAGCGCGCCCAGCTCCGGCAGGCTGTCCAGCGACAGGTTGGACAGCTCCACGTTCGGGTCAGATATGTAGTTTTGCACCTACAATATCGATAAATAATTAATTTTAAACCTTTATGCTTGGTTCACATTACGTTGTCAAACTATGGATCAATAAAGGATGATGATGTCCTAATTTTGAGTGTTACTTTCAACTGTTATCTGGCGCAAGAGAGCCGAAACCAGCAACGAGGCCAGCTCTACTGTTATACATGTGTAGGTATTATCATAAGCTATACAAATTATTTTTAGTAATAACAAATTCTTACCGTAAATGTAGTGCCTTTGACAATGCCAACAGTGTACCAGGTATCTTCATCATTCTTCGGTTTAGATTCTTCTGGCTCAGGCTGTAAAAATTAAATATCTATTTTAGTCATTCTTTTCTGTTTGCAAAACAATAACATTAGATAATT